GTGGCTGTGGTCAGGGCAAGGCGACGTTACGAGGCTGCCCGAGGAGCACTCACGTCCGTCCGTGGTGGGGAGCTGGCGTGTCACACGGAGCCTCCGTCTGGTGTGGCGTTTTGTGCTAAGCCAGCGAGTCAGTCACTGGGATCCTCGTGTTCCTCACAGAACTTCTAACGTGGTGTTTGTTTTCACGTTAACGTCGTGATCACTTCACACCCGCGGGCAAGCTGGATCGCCGGCCGCCCCGTCCAGGTGCTCTGCCCCAGCCGCAGCGCCCCTGCACCTCGTCCGGTGTCACGCTGCTCTCTTCTCCCCGAAGGCCCTGTGTGGCTCTGCTGGGGCTGCCGTAACAAGGTGCCACACACCTGGTGGCCCACACCCTCAGCAGTTTACTCTCACCCGCTTGCGGAGGCCGGAAGTCCAGCAGCACGCTGTGGGGGGCTGTGCTCCCTCCGGAGGCTGGGGAGGAGCCGGCCTGCCTCTGCCAGCCCCTGGAGGCTCCGGCATCCCTTGGCTTGTGGCTGCGTCGCTCCCGTCTCCGCCTGCGTCTCGGCGCGGGGTTCTTCCCTGTGCCTGTGCCTTCAGGGGGTGTCCTCCTCTCACAAGGACACTGGTTGTGTCAGGGCCCACCCTGTGGCCTCATCACAACGTGGTCTCGTCTGCTAAGATCCTGTGTCCAAGTAAGGTCCCGTTCACAGGTCCTGGAGCTGGAGGTTGGGACTTGAGCGTGTCCTTTTGGGGACACAGTTCAACCACCACAGCCCTGGTAGGCGAGGGGGAGGCAGTGTCCTCACACGCAGACAGTGTCCTGCAAACTGCAAACAAGCGGGCCCCCCAGGGACCCGGGCGCGGCGAGAGGCACTGCTGTGCCATCCGGGAGCAGAAGCCTCCCAAGGAAAGGCCTGGGGTCGCGGCTGCACGGTTCTCTCTCTAGCCCTCGCGTGGCCAGCAGCTCCTCCTCTGGGCCCTGCGCTCCTGATGGTGACACGGTCTGCAGGCCTCAGAGAGGTGGCCCTTCCTCAGCCTTTCCTCGGCGCTTCTTCAGTTACAGAGTAAAGGGAGTTTATCAAATGCTAGAAACAGTATCTGACAAATAGCGACTTCTCTTCCCGTCTGATGCTTGGGGCAAGAAGGTGGCAGCAGCAGGTGTCGGCTGCCCGTTTTGTGAAGGGGCAGTTCTGAAAGGGGGTTGGGTTGGGGGTCGGCTGAAAGCGCTCTCCCAGCCCCCACCCTGGCCCCTTCTTCCCAAAAGTCAAACACAGGAGCTTCAGTCGCCACTGCGTGCAGGGAAGCCGCCGGTAGACGCCATTGGTGTCACTTTAGCATGGCAGACAGGAGGGGGCCTTCCTGGGCCTCAGGGGACTTGTGCTTGCCCAGACGTCCAGGAGGGTGTGTGTCACTGAGGCAGCAGAAAGCCCGAACTGTGCTCTTTCTGGTTTGCCCGCTTGTCCTGGTATGTTTCAAATTGAGGTGTCGGTGCGTACATTAAGAGGTGAAGTTCGTGAAACTTCAGTGTGCAGTGGGACGCGTTTACCGGGCACACCCTGCGCGGCCACCCCACCCTCTTGGGACCCAGAGCAGCTTCCCAGCCCACCTTGTGCCCCTCCTCAGCCGCTCCCCACACTGTCACCGACTTGTGCCACCGCGCGGCATGTCCTCTGCATCTGGCTGCTCTCACCCTGTGACCTGCCCCCCGTGTCCAGCCTCCTGCTGGCCGCACACGTGCTGCTCCTAGCAGGGCCGTGCAGGTGGCGCAGCTGCACGTGTCCGTGTCTGCCCGGCACACAGATGCCAGATTCCGTGGAGTCTGGGTGGGCACGTGACCCACCTCCAGGAGTCCAGCCTGCCTTCCACAGCGGCCAAGCGCCGACCCTGGCCCAGACCTTGTCCCTACTTCCTAGTGTCCACCTCGTTCGCGGTGGCCGCCCTGCTGGCGGATATCTGACTTCACGATAGTCCTGCCCCTGGGAGGGGAGATGCCGCCTCATTCCCTCTCAGCACCAGCTCCCGTGGAGACGGGAGAGGATGGGAGGCTGCTGGCGTCCTCCAGACTCGGTCAGCTGGTCCTGGCACCCATGCTCGGGCACCATCTCCGGCATTGCTGGAGTCTTTGGACTCAAGCCAAAAAGCGTGACCCAGGACGGGGCCAGGTTCCAGGAACGGGCACCTGAGGAGGCATCGCCCAAGTGGCCTTTATTCAAGCTGCCACTGGCCGGGCAGGTGGTGGCCGGGGGCAGCCGGAGCCCTGACCATCCACCTGGGCTCAGTCCCTGCTCCACCCCTTACCAGCCGCATCATGCCAGGCAAGTTGCTGAGTGGCTGTGTGCCTCAGTTTCCCCACCTGTAAACCGAGGGTAAGAGTACTGCCTACCTCCCAGCATCATGAGGACTGCATTTCAAATAAAATGCTCACAAAGAAGGAAAGGTAGAAGAAAACCACACAGAAGAAGATCTGCAGAGCCCACTGGGAAGAGATTTTACAAGCTTGGCAAGAAGAAACGTGTCGTCCCCACAGTAACCAGGAAATAACTACGAGGCGCGCGGGGGCAGCAGAGATCAGCAGGGAGCCTGTGGGGCCACCAGGGAGCCCGAGCGCCAAGGCGCTGCCAGACTGGCCGCCGGGGGCCCTGCAAATGGCACCACCTGGGTAATTACCTTGGGGAACGAGCCTCTGGTGAGGCACTTGGCTGGCCCTGGGCACCTCTGGGGACAGCCCCAGCACCTCAGCTGGCTGCATTCCCAGGGCGGGCCCTGCACACCCAGCTCTGCGGACCCATCCCTCAGCCTGCCTGAGCCCGTGGACCCCACGCCCTCGGCCCCCCGCCCCCACCACCAGCCCGGAGGGCGGACGCACAGCCCTGTGGAGACATTCCTGGCCTGTCCCGGATTTTCTGTTTTCAGTTCCAGTTTGTTTTCAATGAGCTCCTGTTGCCTTTGTCATTTAAAAGACTAAATTTTCCATAAGGTCCCAACTTTGACAGTAGAAGCCACACTCGGTGCCCACAGAGCCGTTCTGTGTCCCCCATCAGTGCCGTGTTCGTAAGTGACTGAGGTGCTCGGCGCTGGTATAAACACGTACGTGTTCTGAGCACGCTGAAGCCGCCGTGCTCGCTAGGTCACGTGTGCGAAATGCATTTTCGACTTCATATTTTCAACTTACAACAGGTTTATCAGAACGTGGCCCCATCATAAGTCAAGAGGCATCTGTAAAAACATGAGAGCGTGGATTTCGGCATCTGTGCACCAGCCTAGACTGCCACCGTGAGCAGTCGAGTGTTGGCTGTGACACACTCGCCGGCACAGTCAGCACCCAGCGTGTGACAGTGGCTGTCCGTCCCCCAGCCCCCGCTCCTTGAGGCCAACACGGGCTCTTGGGGAGGCTCCTGGCCAGGGCATGGTGTAGGAGCTGGACTCCAGGCTGGCTCCGCCAGGGAGGTGGCCTCCCGTGTAAACCAGGGGTCCTGCTGGGGGCAAGGCCCACGAGATGCTGCCAGGAAGGTGCTGGCCTGGCACCTGGCAGGCTCCGAAAAGGGGCCCCTCAACAGTGAACTCTCCCCTCCCTTTCCCAGGAACCTGGGTTTGATAAAATGGCCACTGGCAGACGGGGCGCGCAGCACGCCCCTGCCCCGTGCCGAGCAAGGGTCCGCGTTGCTTCAGCTGATAAACCGCCCCACGGCGGCCCCGGCATTACCCCGTCGTGCCAGGGAGGCTCAGGGAGTGCCAGGAGCTGCCCTGGGTCACACAGCCCAGAGACAGAAACGGCGTTTACGAAGCCACGTCTCTGAATTCCATGTTGGCATCTCCTCCAGAACTTCCTGGTCCACTCTACCTGCCCGGAACTTTCTTTCCCAAGTTCCTGGAAGGGTCTTTGCCCTCTCATTCACCTCATCCCTTTCATCCCTTTGTCTTGGGCATATCTGGGGCTGGCACCAGGGCCCCCAGGGAGCTTCCTTAACCATGAAGTGGACCCTGCAGTGCTCTCTGCCTCGCCAGGTGGTAGGAAGTTTGAGCAAAGTAGGGCACAGAACACACAAGGGGCATGTCCAGCAGTAAGCACGTGCTTCACGGAAGTGAGTCACCTCAGCTACCACCATCATCATCACCATCATCATCACGGTCACACAACCATCATCGTCACCACCGTCATCACCATCGTCACTGTCACCATCACCACCATCATCATCACCATCATCGTCATCATCATCGTCGTCATTGTCATTGGGGTGGTTTTCCTAAACCTGCAACGTTGCACGAACTGGCGTTTAACCGTCTCTCATAAGCGGCATTTTGGGGACGGCCTGGGTGCCCAAGCACGTACATTCAGGGCTCCTGGTACACGGAAAAGAGCAAAGCTTTAGAGTCCCAGACAGACCTGAGTTCAAGTCCCAGCTTTACCTTCACAGCTGAGCGGCCTTGAGAATCGCTGGACCACTTTGAGTCTCTGCGTGAGTGAGGCCTCGGGCTGGTCCCGCGGGTGTATGGGGAGAGCTGGGTGCGGTGCCCTGAGGGCGTCTTCAGGGAGGTCAGCTGTGCCGTCCTTGAGGCAGCAAATGTCCAGCTCAACCTGCTGCTTGTGCAGAGGGCCTGGGAGGTCCAGGCAGGAGCGTGAGGCTCCAGGGACACAGCCGGGAGCGGTCCCGTGAGGGCCAGTGCTCTGGAAGGGGAGGCAGACAGCGAGGGACAGTGAGGCAAGGACACCTCCTTGCATGAGTGACCAGTGCCTCGAGCAGGCCACGTGGTCACAGGATAGCGAGGGTCCGGGCAGCCTTCCTGACGGGGCAGCGTGTGGGCTGAAACCTAAAACCCAGAAGAAGGCGGCCTCTGGAAGAGCTGGAGAAGAATGTGCCGCACCAAGGAACAGCCTCTGGGAAGGCCCTGAGGTGGGCGGCTTGTGGCTCACGGAGGGACAGAGGGCAGCGGGCCGGTGGCCTGTCAGCGAGGGGCTTGCACCGTGCACACGTGCCCCTGTCTGGGCCGCGGCGCCCTGGGGCCTGCACTGGCGAGGGATGGGTGCACCAGCGTGGGCCAGGCTGGGTGCCGATGGGCCCATTGGACCCAGCAGGGTGTTTCTTGGGGCCAGGTACCCCTCAGTGGGCAGGGACGGTTGGCATGGCATGTCCTGAGCAGCCTGCCCTGCAGGGCCGCTGGTCCCTGAGAGGAGGGCGGTGCCTCCGAAACAGGCGGGAAGCCAAGATGGGCAGGGCGCCACCTCCTCACGCCTCAGTCTTCAGCGCAGTCTCTGGAGGCCTCTTGGCCCGTCGGCGCGCGGCGCGGCTGGAAAGCAGCCCTCCCTGCACAGCCAGCAGCGCTGGGTCGGGCCGTGGAGGCGCTGCCCAAGGTCGGTGGCACCACAGCTGTCCTAAGGCGTTGGTGTCGTCCCTGCAGGAGGCGAGTCACATCCCAGCGCTGCTCCCTCGAGTTTCTGGAAGATGCGGTGGGATGCGCCTCAGTACAGAGGTATGCGCCCTGCCCGCCCCACGCTCCGAGGCCCTGCTTGGGCTGCCGCTGACCCTTGTGGGGCTGAGAGCCGGTCCTGGGGGGGACAGAATGACCTATTTTTTTACCGTGCAGAACCAAACACACCTCTGGATCCCCAAGACACAAAGGCCTGAAGAAGACGCACTTCATCAAGAACATGCGGCAGTACGACACCAAGAACAGCAGGTGCCGGGACAGCCCCGGGCTGCGGCCCCTGAGCCGGTCAGAGTAGGGCCGGTCCTGCCCTGGTCAGCCACATCAGCTTCCCCCAGTTCACAGGCCCCCCCCTGCCCGGTGCCCCAGGCCCCTTTAGCCACAGACCCTCCCCCATCACACCTTCCTCGTGTGACTGAGCTCCGCGGGTCCCTGGCCTGTCCACGGCGAGCCCACCCTCCGGATCCCAGGCGGTGAGGAACCACCTGCGGACGGCAGCCTCCAGGAGGAGTGCTGCGCGAAGGAGAACTGGAAGCACGGAATCGGGTTTAGCTGTGAGATGCGTCCGGGGAGCGGGGCTGGGTTTTATTTGGGAACACAGAGGGGAGGTCGGACTAGAAACCAAAGTGGGTACCAGAACGGCAGCTGGCACCCGACTCACCCTGGGAGGCTGTGCGGCTGCACTGGGGATGCTCCTGTCCCCTTGCCCCGCACTGCCAGCTCAGGGGTCCCAGAGAGCACCCCTTCCCTCTGGAGTCTGCCTGCCCGGCACCCACCCCGGAGGTGACCATGGGTCTAGACGGCCCCTTCCTCCCAGTCCTGTACACAGCGCGACGCTGCAGCGTGACAGCCTCACGCAGCTCCCAGGCAGACTTGAATGCTGGGCCGCCAGAGGGGTGGGAAGGTTTTCACGCCGTTGTCCTCCCTGAGACCACGGGGGTTAGGGCAGGGCAGAGCCGGCATCCGGGGGAAACTGGTCCCGCCGTGCTCCAGGCCCAGGTCCGGGCTGTTCTGGCACCACGTGAGGAGGCCTCCCAGGCCAGCTTCGCTCTGCACGTGGACCTGGGCACTTTCTGTGGCCTGGGCGCCCCCTTCCAGGACCACCGAGGACCGGCTCTGGGCAGACCTCGGCATCACCGTCCCACCCCTCTGCCTTTGGTGAAGCCCGGCCTCTCCAGGGTGACCCGAGATCCTGACCTCAGGCCTCCATGCACGTGCAGCACCCGGGGGAGGCGCCTTTCTTACACCTGCAGGGACTCCAGCCCGGGAGCCGAGGTGGCCAGACCTACTGTCCCCTCAGACAGCTCAGACGATTTCCTGTCACCTGAGTTTAGGCAGGAAGGAATTTTCCTTTGAAAACGCCCACGGCCCTGGAAACAACACTGCCCGTGGCTCCCCGGCCCCACCCTGACCCTGCCCCCCTCCACAGGATCGTGCTCATCTGCGCCAAGCGATCACTGTGTGCGGCCTTCTCGGTCCTGCCCTACGGAGAGGGCCTGCGGATCAGGTGAGTGGTCCCAGGGCGCCCCAAGCCGCCCTGCCTCGCACGGGCACACACGCCTCGCCCAGCGCATCAGCGTCCGCCGGAGCTCCTCAGGAACTCGGAATGGCCGCTTGGGTCCTCGCTGTCCTGCGGGGGCCATGGCTTCTGTTCAGGCTGTCTATACATAGCTTGCCTGGGACGTCCATCTCCTCGTGGACACAGCCGCGCGTCCCTACGGCCAGCCCAGGCGGTTGTGCGTGATTCGGGAAGAAGGACATGGCTGTTGGGTGGGGACAGCACTGTGTGTGGCCCTGGCATAAAATGGTGACAGAGAACCCTGACTCGTGAGGGCCACAACCAGGTCCTGGGGTCTGAGCTGAGCCGCTGAGGTGTGTGACCGCAGGGTGCAGGGTCGTCCGGTCCTGGTACGCAAGCTCGGGGTGAAGTGAAGGGAGGTGCTGCCACCACCCAGGGTGTTTTGGCAGGTGGCATCCGTCACCACGGAGGGGACTCAAGGATGCCCCTGACAAAGGTGCTCACTGGTGTGCGTCTTCCGGTCACATCAGTGCTGCTTCTCTTCCCGCGAGGGGACGTATGGAGGCTGCTGTCGCGAGCGCTCTGTGCCGAGGGACAGGCAGGCTGAGTGGCTGCAGCCTGAGCCCAGCGCGGCGGCCTGGGGCTGAGCTCCTGCCCGCCAGCAGCGGGGCTGAGCCCGCCTCCCGTGCATTGCAGCGACCTGAGGGTGGACGTCCAGAAGCAGCGGCACCCGTCCGGCGGCACTTCCGTTTCTCCCGAGATGGTCTTTGAGTTGGAAGGCGTTGAGCTGGGAGCGGATGGCAAGGCAAGTGTCCGCGGCCGCTGGCGCCCACAGGCACACGTGGAGTCGAGCGTCTCGGATGCGAAGCCCGAGGGTGGGTGGTCAGGCCCGGTGGCCCTGTGAGCGCGGCCCTCAAACCTGGTGCCGCTGCCCTCACAGCTGCACCGAGAACAAGCCCAGTGTGAGCTGCACGTGGCCACGGCCGGCAGCTCCGGCACCCCACCCCCGTCTGTTCAGGGCTCTGAAATCAGGGGTCTTCAGAGGCAGGGAGAACCTTTGGTGCTGCAGAGCCCAGACAAAGCGTGGTAAAGGTGGTGTTCTGGAATGTTCTTGTTACGTGAGTGACAGCGTCAAGCTCGAGGGCTGCCTCAGTGGCCTTGCCTGAGTTGTGCATGTTCATTTTTCACGCAGGGCCCAGTGCGTTTGTGTCTGTGCCTTCCCGCAGTGGGGCGGCAGGGCAGGTGGGGCTCACCTCGACCTCGGTCTTGGGAAACAGGACTGAGCCCCAGCACACTTGCCTCTCCAGGTCGTGTCTTACGCAAAGTTCCTGTACCCTACCAACGCCCTGGTTGCACACAAGAGCGACGGCCACGGCCCACTGCCCCCACCTCGGCCCAGCGTGCCCCGGGCTCTGCCAGGCTCAAGACACAAACCTGTCCCCGCCAAGTCGGCGCCAGCTGGCACAGAGCTAGGTAGCCGCATGCCTTGACCGCAGCACAGGGACGGCTGCGTGGCCGGCAGCTGCAGCCTCAGGGCAGACAGACCTGGGGCAGGGTCAGAGGGCAGCCTCTCAGAGGGGAGCAGCCCCAGACAGAATCGGGGCCCTGGGCTTCCCCTGAGCCAGGTGTGGAGAGGAGCCATCCAAAGGTGGCTCCAGGGAGGGCCCCTGCCCCTCAGGACACCCTTCCTTCACCCCAAGCCCTGGGCCCTTGGGAGGGAGGCAGCCATGGCCGGGGGCCCTCCCAGACCCCAGGAAGTCCCCTTGTCCGCCCGCCTCCCCTCAGGGTGGATAGAAGCTCCACTGGAGGCACCGGTGGGTCAGGGGCTGCCTCTTCTTACAGGGAGCGACGTGGGGGACACCCCGGAGTACAACCCCGACCTCCTGGACGACCCACAGTGGCCCTGCGGCAAGCACAAGCGGGTCCTCATCTTCGCGTCGTACATGGTGAGCGCCCTGCACCAGGGCCCGTGCGCTCGTGGGCTGTGGACACGTGTCCCCAGCACCTGGAAGCCCAGACACCAGCAGCCACGGGCCATAGCAGGGCAGGCTAGCGGTGCCGGCCACGCCCCGGGTCAGCCCAGGCCCTCCCGCCCTCGGTGCTTGGAGCCAGGTCTCCCCTGACTGGGGTCACACAGTTCTGGGACCATTTTCTCCTCACAGAGGCTCGGGTGCCTCTGAAGCTGCTCCGAATTCACATTTGCAAACCCAGGTCACGCGAAATCCGCCCCGGCGGTGGGTCCACAGGCGGCCCCGGGGCTGGCAAGAGGCTGCCTACCCTGCTCGCGTCTTTGTTGCAGACCACGGTGATAGAATACGTGAAGCCCTCAGACCTCAAGAAAGACATGAATGAGACCTTCAGAGAGAAGTTCCCGCACATCAAACTGACGCTGAGCAAAATCAGGAGGTGAGGAAGGCAGGGCCGGCCGTGCTCCCAGCCCCTCACCCGCAGCCGCCCCTGCACCCCACCTCCTCGCCCCCACCTCACCTCCCCACCCGCCTGGCCTCACCTCTGCAGACCCTCGGAGCAGCCCAGGATCTTTTTAAAATTCTAGTCCAGCACGTCCCTCTTGTGCTCAGGCCCTCCTAGCCTGTGCCGCTTTGCTCAGAGTCGATGCCACAGCTCTTTGTGTGGCCCACAAATGCCCCCCCACCCCGTGTGCTCCCTGCCATGATCCCCACATGGGCCCCGCTGTGAGGACGTGGCGGAGCTGCCCTGAGCCTGGGGCCCGCCCTGTGCCCACATCCCAGTGCCCGGGGACCTGCCTTTCCTCGTGTGGCCCCCACCATTCCCCCTCCTCCCTTAGGTCTCTTCCTAAAACCACCCCTTGTCAGAGGTCCGTCCCACCTTACTACCCCACCCCCACGACCCTCGAGCGGGGTGTGTCCTCTGTGGTTCCATCCGTGAGGACAGTGTGGGCCACCCACCCACACTGGCGCAAGCAGGTGGAGGCTGAGACCCCGCCTGCTCCGTGCCCACGAAGCCGTGTGCCCTGGCGCTAGGCTGTTCAGGGCAGGGCACCTTTTCTAATTGCCCAAAGGCACATTGCCCAGGCCGTGGGACGGTCGCTGCTGCTCTGCCCCAGCCAGAGCCTTGTCCCACGAGGACTTGGCTCCCGTCTCCACCCGCAGTTTAAAGCGGGAGATGCGGAACCTCTCTGAGGAGTGCAGCCTGGAGCCCGTGACGGTGTCGATGGCCTACGTGTACTTCGAGAAGCTGGTCCTGCAGGGGAAGCTGCACAAGCAGAACCGCAAGCTGTGCGCCGGGGCCTGCGTGCTGCTGGCCGCCAAGATCAGCAGCGACCTCCGCAGGAACGAAGTGAAGCAGCTCATTGACGTGAGTACAGTCTGCTCTGGCCATGCCGCCCAGCCAGGCTGCCACGGGGCACCTCTCAGCCCAGCCGCAAGGGCCTCGAGGGGCAAGGCACGGGCCAGAGGGGTGCCATCTGCTCGTCTGGTAACATCTGTCCGGGCTACTGCCCGCTGTCAGGCCTGGCCGGGCATCCACGCCCAGAACCCACTGACTTAGAGGGCAACGCCGAAGAGGGAAGGGACCCCTCCTGTTTAACCTTTCTCTCTCACATGCAGAAGTTAGAAGAAAGATTTCGATTCAACAGGCGAGACCTGATTGGGTTCGAGTTCACGGTGCTCGTGGCTTTGGAACTTGCTCTGTACCTTCCCGAGAACCAAGTGTTACCTCATTACCGGCGCCTCACCCAGCAGTCCTAGCCCGGGCCCAGCGGGGGGCTGCCGTCCGTGAGGGCGCATCTGCTGGCCCCAGAGGTGACCCGGGCACTGAAGCCCCCAAGTGTCACCGGCCTTTTCTGCACCCGCCCAGCAGGGACGTGCCTGACCTCTGGCCGGCACGGCTCGTTTCTTTGCACTGTTTCCTTGGAAAGGGTCGCTACTTTCATTCCAAAGTGCAACACGCCTCCGAGGGCATTTCTCAGAATATTCCCGGATTTTTACATGAACTAAATGTGGAGTTTTGTCACTGTTCCTCTTTTTCCGTATACCCGAGACCAGTCTGGCACCAGGGCCTCCGGTTTACAACCCGACTTTGCAGGATTTCTGTCTCCACCTGGCCTTCTGCAAACCTTCGCAGCCCCTGCACTAGCACCAGGGTGGAGGTCTGGGTTTCCAGACCTCACTGAACACACTGAAGTTGCTGTTTACCTTACTGAAGCATTTGTCGTGGGTATTTTGGTTGTTCACACGTGGAGACGCGGCACTGTGGATTCCCCGACAGCGACACAGCGCTGGCCCTGCCACCCCAAGCAAAGCTACTGCAGAGCTTTCTCCGCCTGCCTTGCCCGTCGGCAGGTAGAGCTTTTGGCGTCAGGTTAGGCTAACAAGAGCAGGCTCCTGACTTGTTCTGATCTCATTTTTGGACTCTTGGACCTCAGTTGAAGCATCGAGTCACTGTGAAATCCCGATGCCCTGTGTGGTACACCGACAGGGCTCAGCCGACCCTCACCTGTGCCAGGAAACCCATTACCTATGACACTCTGGGCCTTCAGGACCACTGCTGATTGCTGGCTCTAGACTCTTGATTTTCCTAAGCAATATTGTGATGGAGAAAAATAACGTATTTATTATAATTTGGGATTTGGTTTTGAGGGCCTTTTTTTTAAGGTTAACAACAACTGGTCAAAGGAGGTCTGAAGTTGACTTGAAAAAACACTTGACCCTCCAGCGGGAGGCCCCCGACCACTCACCCCCACACCCTTGAATGGTCAGTGTCGGGGCCTTTCTTCCTAGGCAGGAAGTGGACGCTGTCTCGACCAGCTCAGCCGGGGCAGCCCATTGAGCCAAGCAGACCCCAAGCAGCGGTCGTCACCGCGGTGCGGGTCTGTGCCTACAGCTCAGCAGGGCCCTCTGCAGCTTGCCAGGTTTGTCGCAGGTCCTTGCACAGTGAGTTTTGCACAGTCCAGTTCTCCACCCAGCTGCCCCGTCAACAGCTCTGAATAACCAAGGACCATTGAGTTCTTGTTCATAGGTCAGCTGGTCTCAAAAGTGGCCATTCTGGCTGGGCCGCCAGGCTGTCTTTCCCACTGCTATCTTATCAACCTGCCTGTCACTGGGCGGGGGGACTACGGGATGACCCCCACCTGGACCCCATTAATACATCACACTCTGTCCACATGGACTGGTGCTTCTGCAGAAAGGAGATGCCAGTTCTGCGCCCGCAGATCTCAGGCCACCAGCAGCTCCACCAGATAGATCCCAGCAGAGGTGCCAGACAGCTGCCTGCCCACTGGCTCCTGCAGGCCTGTGCCCACCCAGCCCTCTTCCATTGCTGTAGCCACTCACTGGGACCCTGAGAACGAGTAGTGTACAAGGGATGGGTGGCTTGAGGGGAAGACTGCAGGATGGGGACGGTCTCTCTTCTAATAAGCAGCCCATCCTCAGGCCAAGGATGATCCCCTTAAACCGAGCGTGCACCCGGGAGGAAAGGACAGACTGGGCAGCTGCTATACCACGTGGAACGCTGGGCCTAAGCCCCAGGCAACTCTCCTCTGAAAAGCAACCTCTCCTGCCACCAAGATACCACCTGGAGGGCACCGGCATGGCGCGAACACCGTAAGAGACTAACTCCGAAAATATTCAGGTTTACAACCTACCTTCAAGGGGCATATCTCCATGGGACTTTCTAGAAAGACAATAGCAAGAAAGTGGCCAATAAGCACAGTAATTTAAGTTTGTATGTTTATGTAGTGAGATTAAGTCATTTTACCAGTCTGTTCGAAGCCCTCCCCTGCAGTTATGTCCTTAATAATGCCACAAGCTGCCCCTGTGCGGTATTCGAGAATTACTGCAACAAAGCCTGAGCTTGTCACCCTCTAGAACAAGGGCAGGGTCGGAGCTGTGGCAAAGGTGTTCAGCTGGGCTATGACCAAATGAAACCAAACCTGGTGCCGCTTCCTCAGCACCTGGTGGCAGTCATGGATGTAAATGTGTGAAGTGAACATCCGACCTCAGAATGTTTGTCATGGATGTTTTTAAATGGATAATGTATTTGTGCTTTAAAGTAAACCTTGATTTTGCAACATACTTTATAACTTGTCTCCTTTCATCTAACTGGACACTGCCCCATCCCTGCCACCCAGTCACAGCAAAGCCTCAGCCCTATTCCCAACAGAGGCCAAACGAGTACATCTACGGGCACAGAACGAACTGGCACAAGTGGGTTTTCACTATTTATTCATGACACATTTTCCAGATCCCCGATTCTCTCCAGTCAGAAATTCCTAGAACGAGGAGGAAAGGACATTAAAACCACGTCTCTGTAGAAGTCCCACTCTGCCCAAACATGAGACCCCCCCACCTGCTCTTACTTTGAAACGATGCCGTCAGCCTTGGCCAATCGGAGAATGGAATCATCTGACTCACCCTTTGAAAGAAAAAAGCACACTGAATATTCTGGCTGCCGCCTGGGACGGCAGGTGCGCCGCACTGCACGATGGAGGGCAGACTCTCCCAGTCACAGCCTCAAGCCTGCGTGTACAGGGAAGGTGGCTCCCAGGTCGGTTTTTTCCTGGCTCCCTGAGCACCCCTCTCCTGCCCCCAAGAAGAGGCAGGCAGCCGCTCCGGTCCACACGGCTCCAATCTACTCTGCCAACAAATACACGCAGGCCCAGGAAAGGGAGGAAGGCACCGTCACACGCTCAGACGCCCAGGCCCAAGTCCGCAATGCTCCCAGGTGCGGGGCCATGGGACAAGCAAAGCCCGGGGAACACTCACCATCCTGCGAATGGCCCCGCAGATGGCGTAGGTTTTGAACTGGCCGTTAAACCTGCCTGTAACCTTGTCGACCTACAAAGAAAAGAGTTCATGAAGCCGCTCCCTAAGTCACTTTAGCTCTCCCACCAACCTGAAAAGCCAGCCCATACCTGCACCTTCCACCCTCCCCCGTGGTCCCTCCCCAGGGGCACAGACCTTCCTGTCACGGGCACCCACACGCCTTCCCGCGGTCTGGGGTCCCGCCTCACCTCAGCGACGTTCATCTGGATGGACGCGTGGTCCTTGGCACCGATGATGCGGTTGCTGGCGGAGCTGAGAAAGGGGGCCCAGTGAGCGGGTGGAGAGGGGATCTGGGGGAGTAGGGGAGGCGAGGGGCAGGGGGGTGGAGGAGGGAGAGGGCACCTGGGGGGGTGGGGCAGGCAGAGGGGACCTGGGGGCCGGGAGAGGGGACCGGGGGTCTGCGGGGCGGGAGAGCGCGGTGGGTGCGCATGGGTGGGGCGCTCACCATTTCCGCGGCACGTACAGGTCCACGAACTCGCCGGCGTCGTTCTGCATGTCAAAGCCGCGCCTAAGGAATCACCACGCGGCGCGTGAGGGTGGCAGGGCCCGCGCCCCCGCTCCCCGCGCGAGCCCGCCCGGCCCCCGCGCCGCCCTCGCCCGGTTCCCGGCCAGCCCCGAGCCGGAGCCCGCGCCGCACAGCCCACCTGCTGCCACCACGACGCACGCGAGCGGAGAAAGGAAGTAGCCTGGCCCCGGGAAGAAATATCGGCGGGCGGGGCGGGGCCGAAACGAGTGCTTCCGGGTCACGCGGCCGCAGCGAGTCTGCGCGGTGCGTCCCCGCCGGCCGCCGGCCTGACGCGTTTCCGCTTCCGCTTGAACTTCCGTCGGCCGGTCCTGGGTCAGAGGCCGGGCAGCCGGCGCGGCGTCCGGGCTCAGCCTGCTCTTGGGACGCGCTTGGCGGCACCAGCGCCCGGAGGTCTCGAGTAGGCAGCGGGGGCCGCTCTCTGTCGCCTGCTGCCGCAATGCCCCCGGCCCGACGGGCGAGCTCGTGGGCACCAGCCCCGCTGGGAGTCAGAGAAAAGCCCCCGAGCGCCCTGGGCCCGTCTTTCACCGGTCGGACCCCAGGGTAAACAGGCAGCCTTTCCGAAAAGCTTGTGGTCCTCGTTTGTCACAGGGGCCACTTACTCCTGGGAAATCCGCGGCGTGACGCGAAGGTGGGCGCGCGAGGGAGTTCGTTGGCAGCGAGAACAGTGGAGACAGCCCGTGGGTCCCGAGGGAGGCCTTGCTAGCAGCCTGAACCTCGTCGCCGGCCGGAAGCTCCAAGCAAGGGCGCGCAGCAGGGCCTGCGTCCTGGTCCTCTCTGGACAGGGGGCCTGGCCCGGGGATGTAGAAGCCAAACCTCGGAAACGGAGGCCTGAGCAGGGAAGGGGCTTGGCCCAGTGACACAACTGAGGCCAAACCCCGCGGCCCTTGCCCCGCCCCATCTCATCGCCTCCCCAGTGACCCCTCTTCACCCCACCCCGCCCAGTTTCCCCCACTTTGTGCCTCCACAGAGCAGTGTCGACCGAGAAGTGCTCATGCCGGGCTCCTTCCTAGTGCTAAGGATCCATTAATGGAAAAACAGAAAATTCCCAGACTGTGGAGCTAACATCCGGAGCGGCCCCCTCCACACATTCACGGGAGCGTGCAGTCCCTCAGCTAAAACGTCCACTGGGGACTTCGTCTCCCACGTGAGACAGGAGGCCCCACGAGCACAGGCTAAGGGCCATATACAGCCTGCTCCTGCCATAGGGGCTGCCCACGGCTAAGCCACAGGAGCCTCCGGAACGCAGCTGGTGCCTGCCCTGCCCCTCTGCCTGGCCAGCCCTGCTCAGTCTCGGCTCCACGTCACCTCCCTGACCCAAATCTGTGTCAGCTTGTACTGCCAAGGGTTGTCTGAAAACTAATTTTTTTCACACGCCTATCCTCTCATTAGACGTTCCTCTGTGGAACCGGTTACCGGAGGTGATCTCCCCAGTGGCCCGGGAGCTCCCTGGGGCTGGAGCTGGAGTTTCTCATCATGGGGCACTGCACACAGTAGGCACACAAGGCACAGAACTGAGTGAATGCACCAAGGGACCCTCTCCTAGCCACACAGCACCCCAAGTCATGGCAAACCTCGTTAAGACTGGGAGAGTCTGGACCTGGTTAGGGCTGAGACTGCAAGTCCGTCATGCCTGGAAACCAGGCGTTCGTGTGAGCAGTGTGTCTGCCATTGCTTCCACTGGACTCCAGCAAGCAGGCATCAAAAGTGAGGACACTGAGGCCACTGTCCTTCAGGAAGGTCGCTTGGTATTCACACAGGCCCTGAGATGGGTGCTCTTTCCAGAGTCCCCAGCATGTGTACAGAGGTGACTTGTCTATGTTTGTGGTTAGAGATGTGCACAGCTGGCCTGCCTGCCTGTGTGTGTGGTTGGCCCAATAAGACCTGAGACGTCAAGAGATTCTCTGTAGGTGAAAGGCCAGAGATACAGGCAGATGGAGTACCAGAGTATCAGAAAGGAGAGAGCAGCAGACGGCTCTGCAGAGCTGTCCAAGGCTGGAGAAAGAACCATCCTAAAATATTATCCAGTGCTCACACAGGACTGGAAATAGTACCTGTTCCCATCAATGAGACTGGAAAAACACAATTTATAAGGCATTGAATGGAGTACTCAGAAAGGTCCTGCCTCAGTAATGAGGAATAATTATCCCCACCCTAAATGCTGTCCTGGTCCCACCTAACAAACCATAAAAGCAAAAACTGAAAAGATCAAACCGTTTCCAAGTAACCTAACTGCATCCCAGAAAAAGCCTCAAGAATATTGGTAGGAATATAATAATGTCAAACACCCAACAAGGTAAAATTCACATTGTCTGGCATCTGATCAAAGATTACTAGGCATACAAAGAAGCAGGAAAACATGACCCGGAATGAAATGGAAAGGCAATCAATGGAAATTGATCCAGAACTGACGCAGATGTTAGAATTAGATGAGGATGTTACAACAGCTTCTATATAATATAAAATATTTCACATGTTTAAACAGAAGTGGAAGTTATTGTTAAAAAAAGATCCTGGCTGGGCGAGGTGGCTCACACCTGTAATCCCAGCACTTTGGGAGGCTGAGGTGGGAGGCTTACTTGAGGCCAGGAGTTCGAGACCAGCCTGGGCAATATTGCAAGACCCTATCTCTACAAAAAAAAATTTCTTTTTTTAAATTAGCCATGCATGGTTAGACATGCCTGTAGTCCCAGCTATGTAGGAGGCTGAGGCAGAGGATCACTTGAACCCAGGAGTTCAAAGCTGCAGTGAACTATGATCAACAGAGTGAGACCCTCACTATAAAATAAAAATTAAAAGACCCTAATCAAAATACTAGATTAGTTTCCTCAACCGCCACCAAGGTGTTCAGTCTTTCCAGGGAAGCTAAGGCCATGTTGGGGTGAGGCCCTCACTTCCTTCAGCAATGAGCACCACACCCAGCAGCCACCAGCCCAGCAAGCCCGTACGTTGGCCTCTGTCTCCTAGCTTACCTCCCCCTACTCAGCCCTCATCCTGCATGACAATGAAGTGACTGTCACAGAGGATGAGATCAATGCCCTCATTAAAGCAGCCAGTGTAAATGTTGAACCTTTCTGGCCTGGCTTGTTGGCAAAGGCCCCGGCCAATGTCACTGTCAGGAGCCTCATCCACGGTGTGGAACTGGTGGACCTGCTCCAGCGTCCGGTGCTGCACCAGCAGGACGTTCTTCCCCGTCTGCCACTGCTGCCCCAGCTGAGGAGAAGAAAGCGGGGGCAAAGAAAGAAGAATCTAAGGAGTCTGGTGATGACATGGGCTTTGGTCTTTTTGACTAAGCCTCTTTTATGACGTTCAGTAAAAAGTTGAACTCTTAAAACTAATAGATATGAAAACTACGATATCTAATATGAAAAAAATAACACTGCATAGGATTAAAGGCAGATTATACCTTGCAGAAGAAAAGATGAGTGAACTTAAAGACGTGGCAGAAGAAACCATCTAAAATGAAACAAAAAGAAAAGATTAGTTAGAAGAGCATCAGTGAGCTGTGCGACAATCCAAGCGGCCTGATACACATGTACTTGGAATCCCAAAAGAGGAGGGGTTAACAGAAAAAATGTATATGAAGAAATAATGGCCAGAATTTTCTCAAATTTGATAAAAACTAAAAACCCACAAATTCCTGCCAGGTGCTGTGGCTCGCACCTGTAATCCTAGGACTCTGGGAGGCCAAGGCAGGAGAATCGCTTGAGCTCAGGAGTTCGTGACCAGCCTGAGCAAGAGCGAGACCCCGTCTCTACTAAAATTAGAAAAATTAGCTGGGCACGGAGGCGCATGCCTGTAGTCCCAGCTACTTGGGAGGCTGAGGCAAGAGGATTGCTTGAGCCCTGGAGTCTGAGGTTGCAATGAGTTATGATGACACTGCTGCACTCTACCAAGGGTGACAGGTGAGACTCCGTCTCAAACAAAAAAAAGCCCACAAATCCAAGAAACTCAACAAACTTAAAGATGAGAGACGTGAAGAAAAGTACACCAAGATACATAATAAAATTGCTTAAAACCAGTGATAAATAAAAAATCATAAAAGTACCCAAGGAAAAAACACAGGTTACATAGAGAGGAACAAAGAAAGATAAGAATGACAAGAGATTTTTTTATTGAAAACAAGGCAAGTGAGAAGACAGTGGTAAAACATCTTGAAAATGCTGAAAGAACAAAGTTCTCAACCTGGAATTCTATACCCAGTGAAAATATCTTTCAGAAAATGAAAGTAGAGTGATGTCAGCAAAATGGCAGAGCAGGCATCTCCAGACTCTTGTCCTTCACATAAACGTTTTTTTTTTTCCCAAAAGAAATCATCAAAACTATGGGCCAGGCGCAGTGGCTCACGCCTGTAATCCTAGCTCTCTGGGAGGCCGAGGCGGGCGGATTGTTCGAGCTCAGGAGTTCGAGACCAGCCTGAGTAAGAGCGAGACCCCGTCTCTACTAAAAATAGAAAGAAATTATCTGGACAACTAAAAATATATAGAAAAAATTAGCCGGGCATGGTGGCGCATGCCTGTAGTCCCTGCTACTCGGGACGCTGAGGCAGAAGGATCACTTGAGCCCAGGAGTTTGAGGTTGCCATGAGGTAGCCTGACACCACGGCACTCTAGCCCGGGCAACAGAACAAGACTCTGTCTCAAAAAAAAAAAAAACTAATTCTGTCAATACTCTGGAAAACAAAGATTTGCTGCAATCAATCAAATGAGTGCTGAATCAAGAAAAAGACAACTTTATTTTTTTATTTATTTATTTTTGACAATTTAAACTGACAGGAAAGATTTGTGGTTTTTTAACTCGTCCCTGCCCCACCAACTCCCTGATTTAGCAGTACTCTTGAGGCAATAGCTAGTGCTTCCAGTGTGGAACCCTGATCCCTGATTCTGAGGGGCGCAGAGCAAACCTTATTCACAAATTACTGTGTTTGTACTAACCTGTCTAGGGGCTACCTGAAGGACTGACACGAGGGTGCTCCTCTCTGTTTCACCTCACTCAGAATGCATTCAGGGCAGAAAAGCAGTGAGCATTGCTCAAAAACTTGCAAGGAAGTCAAAAAATCCACAGCTGCCTGGGGAAGATTAGGATGGAGACTTACAATAGGCCACCTAAGACCTGGAAGGAAAAGCCAGGGAGAGAGTTTCTTTGGGATATTATGGCATCTAAAACCGTTTGTGTATTTGGGGAATTTTAAAAAGCCCTGTGCATGTC